AAGGCCCCCCTTGCCCAGGGCCGGCAGCCACCCCGTGCTCCTCCGGGGCTTCCGCGCTCCTCTCCGAGCCTGGCACGTCCCGGCACCCGTGGCACCGCAGCCGGAGCCACCCCCGCACACCGTGCACCGCCATGGGCCGCCGGACGCCCGGGACCGGGGCAGGGAAGCAGCACGTAATGCGCTCTGCTTTTCCTTTTCCCAGCCCAAGCAGTTTGTTTTAAGCACCATCCCGTGCCACAGCTCGCAGCGCGTGTCGTGGCTGCTTCGACGAGATACTGCAAAGCCCTGTTCCTCGGGCAAACGTGAGGTCGAGCAGCACTCGTCAGAGGAATACCCCTCTGCTTTGCCAGCACACGTGTGCCCACGCAGAAATAATTTTTTCTTACTCAGGAAAAAGCTGTCTTTTTTCCTGACTTTGTAGCTGCTCATTAGGGCAGCTGTAAACTGCTGGGTATTTTCGGGACTGCCTTCTGTACTGTGCCACCCCGCAGGTGAATCAACTCTGTTACGCCGTTGTGAACCACGATGCCATCGATAACACTGACGACCGCACGCAAATGCCGTGCTGCTGCTTGAAAAGGATGAGCTGCCTACGGCACTCAGCCGGCACCGAGATTAAAGCACCGCGGGGCTGAATATCGAGGGGGCTGGGGCTCGTGACTTACGAGGAGGGGCTGACCGAGCTGGATTTGTTCCGTTTACAGAGGAGATGGCGATGGGAGGGTTCTGTGGCTGGGGTATCTCTTCGGTGGTTACAGAAAAGACAGAGCCAGACTCTTCTCAGCGATGCACGCCAAAAGATGAGGGGTGATGGACACCAACTGCTTTGAGGGAAATTTTGACTGGATATTAGGGAGAAAAAGCTTCACAATGAGGGTGATCCAGCAGAGCGATGGGTGGCCCAGAGAAGCTGCAAATCACCGTGCGTGGAGCTTTTCAAAGCTCGGCTGGAGCAGCCTTGCACAACCTGATCTGATGTCGAAGTCAGCCCCGCGCTGAGCAGGAGGATGAGCACGAGGCTCCCGGAGGTCCCTTCCAGCCGGAATTACTCTGTTATTCTGTAGCTGAAAGCATACTTGAACGCACGCAGACTGAGCAGAAGCTAATCCAACACCTTTGAAAAATAAACCTGCTTCGGCTCTACAGGTTCCGGTGGCGTCAGAGGGGTTCTCCAGTCTCGGTCGTTCAGCTTAAAAGAACAGTGTCATAACCTGACCGGTAATAGGCACCGGCTACAGAACCCGGGTAAGGAGCGACCGCTTTCAGTGCACAGAATAAGCAGCTCTACATTCCCGACGTGCCTTCCGACACATCTTTCATACGGTGCTTACGAACACAGGAGATCGAAAGAGGCCAGTAAAGGCTAATACGTACCTATCAAGTACATAGCCAAGAGCCTTATGCCGTATTCCTGAGTAAACCGATGGGCTTGTTTCCCAAGCAATTAAATTGGAAGCATCATGGAAAAGATGAATGTTTACCAAGTCAAAGGCACTATGACAAAAAAGGAAAAAATAAAATGATTCAGGATAAAAGAAAAAAACATTTGTTGCATCAGCAAAGCATTCAACACAATAACAGTGTATTCTCTCTTAAGTTACCTTAGTACTTACACAGACTCTGCAAATTAAGCTTTCATCATCAGAAAATTGTCGAAGGCTATGATCAAACTTAGGACAACTCATCCACAGTAAGAGTGCACCTAGGCTTTTGCTTACAAGATGCGTAATATGAAAATGAAAAGCTTTTTGTCAGTTCCAATACACAGAAATCCAGCAGCACCCTCTCACCACAATATTTTTACAACAAAATTGAATGTGTAAACAAACAACTTTAAGTTTACAAAGCTGTAGCTAAACACTTAGCAGGACTGGGCTTTGCAATAAACAAAATGAAAAACTACTGACAGGAGAATTTTACTGACATTGAAGGCTAAATGATATCCCTGCAACTCCTCATCTGCCCCTGTGGAGAGCACGCTGAGATGACCGTGGTCAATCCACACGGCACTTCCAGTTGGGAAGGGGACACAGGCTGTTACACTCAGGATCCCAGAATCACGGAATGGTTTGGGTTGGCAAAGCCCTTTAAGCTCCCCCAGCCCAACCGCCCCCCTACCCCTGCCATCCCACCACTACACCCTGTCCCTCAGCACCGCCTCTGCCCGGCTGTTAAATCCCCCCCGGGACGG